AAAGACAATGACCTGAATCACACACCTTAGTCCTCTAACTGACATCATTACTCCTCAACAATTTGGAGAGGTTCCTAACTGCAGAGTTTCCCAGTGCAATGCATCTCCTTATTTCCTGACCGCTCCTACTAAATACAAAACAACAACAACAAAAACAACAAAGTTTCAGTAGGAAAGAAGGTAACTGCCAACCAAGTGCTTCCTTGTTTGTATGATCTTATTGTTGTTGAGTATCATTGAGTAGGAGCTGACCCAAAGCTGACCCTTCAGTGGGTTTTCAGAGGCTGTTAATTGCAGAGGACGAGATTGCCCATCCTTTAATGAACCTTGGCATTGATAATACTCAGAAACTTTTGTGTTCATCATCTTTTCTCTCTTATAAATAGTGTTTCCTTCCTTCCTTCCTTCCTTCCTCTCTCTCTCTTTCCTTTTTTTATATTTTCATGTGATCTAGTGCTAAGGAATTGCAATATCAACTCAAAGACATGTAGTTTGAATCCACCAGCTGCTTCATGGGAGAAAGATGAACAATCAATTCCTGTGCTATTTACTAACTTTGAAAATCAACTGAGTTTGTTGCGTTTTGATGGTATGCAACATGACTATATCATTGAAATCAGCTTGGTTTTTTTAAAGGATAAATTTATGCATATTTGAATATGTAAGGAACACTAATGGCCCAAAATTTAGTCACATGGCTAATAATTCAAAAGGTCAATGGTCCAAACCCGTAAGTGACTTCATAGGAGTAAAGACCTGGACATCTGACTGTCTCTTCTGTGAAGAGTATATCCTCTGAAACCATATGGGACAGTTCTGCTTTGGTCTATTGGAGGTACAAGAGTTGAGGTCAGCTAGATAACAAATAGGAACCACCACTTATTTAAGGAGAATATGAATTTGGAAGGATAGGAAATGAAGGAATCTTCTGCCATCACTTTTCTTCAAGTTCCCGTGGTTTCTGTGGAAAAGTGTATGTCTGAGGGATTATAAAAATTGTGTTACATTTCTTCTTGTGCTTGTTGGTCATCTCAATGTCTTCTTTGGTAAAGTGTCTGTTCATATGCTGTGTCCATTTTTCAATTGGGTTATTTACTTTAATCTTGTTGTGGTACTCAAGTATTTTATAAATTCTAGATATAAGTCCCTTGTCTGACATGTTATTACCAGATATTTTTTCCCCAATCTGTGGCTTCCCTTTTTACCCTGTTGGAGAAGTTTTTCAAT